GGCATCTGTATGTGTGTGTGTACATGGCAATGCAACATGAAATCAGATTGAAATTGCTAGTTTTTAGCACCAAACAAGCTGCTTAATTTTTAAAACTAGGTCCTTTGTGAAGTTGGTTGAAATCATTTCCTATAGTCAGCAGTCACCATTTTCCCAATTCTGAATTTTTTGTGCAGATGTAGGGTTTCTAAAATTTACTTTTGTTTTTCATGTTCTTCATATTCAAGCCTTGATTTAAAGTGTTTTGATCATTTTTCTAATCTGCCATAACTCACAAGCAGCTTTTCTGTATGCATTTTATTCAGAAGACAGCTCGTAGTGCATTCTAATTTTTTTCTCTGTAGTATGTTACATTCAACTTAGATGACTTCGTTTCTTTAATTTTCTCAGGATTCATGTTTATCAAGCATATCCATAACTTTGAGAAAATTGCTATCTAGATATTGTGTTATTCAGTCCTTTCTTAGAAAAAAATTTTTTTACCATCCAGAGATAATTTTGGTAATAAGTTTGAAAGCTTTTATCTTAGAATATATTAACAGGCACCAGATCCAGAAGTCCTTGAACTCCTTTCTAAATTTCAGAAAAGTCAGCTTTTTTAACATCATTGTACTTCTGAAGAGCAGAAAGAAATTGAAATTCCAACTTTATATCTTTTCTTCTGAAGGCCATAACTTTTGCAGTATTAACACATTTTAAGTTGAGTAATTCTTTCATGAGGGGTGCTGTCCTGTGCATTGTATAATGCTTACCAGAATCCTGGGTCTCTGTTGACTAAATGACAGTAGCACCACCCCAGTTGTGACAATCAAAAATGTCTGTGGACATGGGCCAGCCCAGGCACAGTGGTTAAATGTTTGCACACTCCGCTTCAGTGGCCCAGGGTTCCCCGGTTCCGATCCCAGGTGCGGACCCAAGCACTGCTTGTCAAGCCATGCTGTGGCAGGCGTCCCACATATAAAGTATAGGAAGATGGACAGGGATGTTAGTTCAGGGCCAATCTTGCTCAGCGAAAAAAAGAGGAGGATTGCCAGCAGATGTTAGCTCAGGGCTAATCTTCCTCAAAAAAAAAATTAATTCATTTAAAAAATGTCTATAGACATTACCAAGAGTCTCCTGTGGGGGCAAAAATCACCCCTGGTTGAGAACCAGTGTTATAGAAAGATTTGTCGTCTTCACAGCTGACGGTTACTTGTCTCTGCCAGTTTACTTACCTCTTTCTTATTTTTATGTGACTCTGAATCAGTATATGACAGCTGGTAACACAGAATCGTAAGATCAAGAAATGTATTATCCTGTAATCCCCTTTCCCCATCCCCTTTTACAACCCCTGATAAGCAAAAAATGACGTCTGTTTTTAAAATTCAAATATCTTAAAATTTCATAGCTTAAAAAGGTAAAATAGGAATTAGGAGTAGAAATTTCCTAATGATGAGAGAAAAAATTTCTATTTTACAGTTTAATAGGATTCACAGTGTTCCTTTTGGACATGACTGTACATATTTTACACATGTACACAGCCTGTCTACACTCCAAAAGGAATTCAAATAAATTTAAAATTAAACACTGTTAAATGTGCCAAACAGAACTGAAACCTATTGAAGATATAGGGAAAAAAACGTACTTCCAGGTATCTATGAAACTGTTGCTGTAGTTGAGCATTGTATTTAGTTGAGTTTCTGGACCACAAAGAAGAAAAGGAAAAATTCTGAGTTAATGTTAAGTGACTTGATAGGACCCGCAAAGTTGTATACTGTAATGCATGTAATGCAATACTTACTCCCTTGTTCTTTTCTTTTTCCAAGATAAAGTGAAATCTTTTCGTGCAGCTCTGCAAGAAGAAGAACAGGCCAGCAAGCAAATCAACCCGAAGAGACCCCGAGCCCTTTAAATTGGTATTTGCTGCTAAAGGATCCCCAGAACCCTCGCTACTGTAACATACAACGATTCAGTTGTAAGGGCCATTTGAAAGTTTGAAATTTTAAGTGTCTGTGGAAAATGTCTTGTCCCTTCACCTGAATGACATTTCAATTTGTGAAGCACTCCTTTGTCTACAAAATGCTTCTAGTCCAGGAGGCACAACCAACATTTGGGAATAGTGAAGCATTTTGTTTCATTCACCCAAATGGTGATTTACTTTTGGAGATCCTTGCCAATTTTATTTTCCATATGATGAAGTAAGATTGTGGACTTGATCCAGAGGCGAATAGTAGGAGGATGCCACAGCATTTCCTTTTAACTCGGTTCGATTTTTGTAGCAAGACTGAGCAGTTTTAAATCCTTTGCGTGCATGCATACCTCATCTGTGATTGTACATACCTTGACCACTCCTAGAGACAGCTGTGCTCACCTCTTCCTGCTTTGTGCCTTGATTAAGGCTATTGACCCTAAATTTCTGAAGCACAGCCAAGATAAATTACATTCCGTATTTGTCATTGTAAATTACCTTTCTTGTGTGTACATTTTTACTGTATTTGAGACATTTTTTGTGTGTGACTAGTTAATTTTGCAGGATGTGCCATATCATTGAATGGAACTAAAGTCTGTGACAGTGGACATAGCTGCTGGACCATTCCATCTTATATGTAAAGAAATCTGGAATTATGATTTTAAAACCATATATGTGGTTATAATTTTCTTAGCATTTCTTTGTAAAGAACTAAAATATAAACTAGTTGGTGTATAATAAAAAGTAATGAAATTCTGAGAAGAGTTTTATCTTAGGATAATACATATATATGCAGTGTGTGTTCCAGTGTGGTATTAACAAGACTAATAGTGCAATTTGATCCTTACCAATACCATTACTTAAGCTGAAGTGTCCATTAGCACCCTAAAATGTACGTTTTAAATGTACTGTTAAAGGAAATTGGCTTCTGATGCATGAACATTTACATGTACATCGAAAGTAGTCCGTAATAGAACTGTTAGTGTAAGCCAAGTGTAGACAGTACATAACTCCCTTGAAAAAGAATTAAGCTAAAAAAAGAGCTGACTTTGCCTTAAAAGGCAGATCTAACCCAGGCTTCCTCCATTACCTAATGTGTGATGTTTCACCATTACTTCGTGAGAATATCCAAATTCTCACCAATAAATTGGTCTAGGGTATGCTACTTTTTAAGTGGTGGCACTTATTTTTACAGATTGCTACTCCAAGGAAGAAAACTGGCCTCTTTTCATGTAAATATTTTGTTAAAAGATTTCTATCGCTCTCTAGGAGTTTTCCCTCAGTTCCCAGGGTAGAGCCCAGGAGTAGATCAACAACAGAACGTCTCCCAAGGATATCTTGTTTTGACTGACTCCAGGGAACTACTAGCTCATTCATACGGGCCAAAGGGAAGCTATGAATAGAGAGTCACGTGAGCCAGACTCCTACTTCACTGTCGATAGAAGTCAGAGGGTCGTGCTGGGCATCCTAACACCATGGTGAAACGCTCCTCTGTAAACTTGAAATCTAGAACAAAGGTAGATTTTCACAGTGTGCTTATTAATAAGTGAAATCTATGGAATGAGTTTTAGAGATAATTTACTTCAATACAATCTCCTTTGTTTTGGAAGGGACTCAGGTTTTCTTGCAGCTGTAAGATATATTCTATTTGTGTTTACTTCAAAAAGAAGAGGGGGAATGGAGAACCATTACTGTTGACCTTGCAGAGGCTATTTAAAAAGTAATTTTTGAGGCTAAGCAACCTTCAAAGGGCAATCAAGAGTTGTGAACTTGCTCATTTTAAAGCACAACAGATTAGTCTGAACTTATTATTTAAATTAGATGGATACTATCTCTGGAAGGTCTCCTTATATCCACATATGCTGCTTTATACTGTAATGGCTTCATTCTGATCAGTAACTAAGGTATATAAAGAATTGGTACCAGAAAAGATCTCGGTAGTATAATCCAGTCCTTCAGTTTTACAGATAGGGAAAACCGATGGCCAGAAAGGGGACTACACCTCAGCAGTTCATAGCAGGAAAGGAACTAGAGGGAATGCTAAATTAAGTCTTACAGTGTTGCTATAAGGAGAGAGATGGGACACGTGAACTTTGCAAAGTAGTTCTGTGATACTGGAAAACTCTACTCTGAAGTATATTTAATATTTATGTAACAAAAGTGGCTTGATGCAGCTGTTATTTAAAGAATAATTTCTTGGATCTGGATTAAATATTCTTTACTGTCTCAGACTTGAAAGCTGATAGCCCTATTAATAAGTAACTAAGAATATACATTATTTTAATTCTGTAGGAATGTTTTACTCTATCATCGTGGAACCAGATTTCAAAAAAGTCTGTTTAGGCAAACAATTTATCTTCCCTTCCAAATTTACTCAGTGTACCTCTGTTAAAATAATTTGGAAACACTCCTTCTATTAGGTATAAAGAAAGCAAAATATCAGTGAAGATTTTTTTTATTAATTTCCTTATATAAATAAAATAATCAGCTACTATAATGCTTTATTAAAAGACATTAACATTTAGTATCCTATTGATAATGATTTAAACCTGGTAGCTGATTAAGACTTTTTTATGACATCTATTGAAATTTTCAACCTGCTGTTTTAAAAAATATTCTAAAACTAAGCATCAGGTATATGAAAAGGTACTGGAAATTTTAATTATCCTGATGTCAGATGAATACTGGAAGCCTGTAGTTGTAGGAAAATGACTGGTTGGCTTTTTTGTTTGTTGTGAAATTGAAGGGCAGAGATTTTAACTTTAAGTCAGTTCTGATTTACAAAACTCTTTGAAATTTTGTGAAACCTATGACTATCTCCTGAAGAAAAAATAATCTTATAGTTCATTTCATTCCAGTCAAGCATCCTCACTGCACAGGTTAGGAATCGCACCCGGAGGTGATATGCCTGCTCCACATGGTGGCAGGAGCAGACTCAGGCTTACTCAGAACCCCGACGTAGCCTATGATGCGACAGGGTAGCTAACGGGGGAAGCAATGATAGAAGCTGTGAGGGGCAAACAGAAAGAATGAGAGAAGCAAAATAAAAACATTTTGAGAAACAGTTGTTTTACTGTACACATGAATAACAAGAAATGGTATAGGGAATATGTGACTAAGTTAAGCATATTTTAGCTTTTTCACCACTTGAGGGACAAAGGCCTAAAGAGCTGAAGGCCTAAAGAAGCTCACAGTAATATATAATAGAAAATGGAAGAGTAACATCTTTATACAATAAACTGTTAGAAATGATAAGTTTAAGTGTAAAGTTGTGCGTGTCTGCGGCTCTTGAAGATTATCAGGTATAGATTGGACCCTGCCGTATATTTGATATTAAAAACAAACCAAAACCAAAAAAAAACGCTGGGTACTTAGAACTGACTGACTTACTACCCTGAAAATTTAGAGTAATAAATGGTGACAGCAGTAGTATAAGTCAAAAATAGTCGAGCACATAGTGTCCTAGTAGACACAAAAGCACAGTTCATCTTCTCAAATTATTAAAAATATACAATTCCAGTTTCTTGACTTGAGTTTGAAACATTCTGTTTTCCAGATACCTAAGAAAAATGGATACCTTCTGCATTGAATCCATGTAGCAATCTGAAAAAAGAAACCAAAATGAGATAGTATTGAAAAGCTAATTTGTAGGACATAACAGTGCACAGTTCCTATTAGCATGAATTCTAAAACATGAACATATCAGACCTATGAAGCCCACCCCCTCCTAACACTAGTCATTCAAGTTTATTCTTCCACTAAATTTATGTAAGATATATATTAGTTAAAACCACATCATTTTGGTGCCTCTTGTCTATATGTCTTAAGTTATGATGAATTTGACTAAAAATATCTTAGACCTCCACTATCCCAGTCCTAAGAGCTCACAGGCACTTGTTCCATTTCAACATGGTACGTGAACAAGACGGAAGAGGGATGAATGGTTCATCTTACACGTCCATTCTTCCTCGGAGCTCACTGTAACTGAGATTCACATTAATGCACATGGCTTTTTCTCTGGACACCCATGTACTTACGAGATCCTAGTTAGCAAAGTGCATACGCTAAATAACCTTGAAGAAATTTGTTGAGAATGAAGGAAATAAGATGAAATGTTTCTGTTTAGACCTGAGATTATTTTCAGGATGGCCCATAGAAACAGATGAGTTAAAGATGGGTTAAAATGTCTGAAAAAGGAAGATTGGTACTTAGGAACAATGTTCAACTCCTAGGATTAATATCTAATAAAGACTCTAGTACTGCTAGCCGCCAATATAAAATATTAACCCCATCTGTCTTAGTTATACAGAACGGTGTTTCCAGCTTAGAAAAGTCAAACCGATGACTTTTGTAACAATCTACCCTCATTTTTAATTCAGCTCCTAGAACATGGAAGCTTTAAAAATGAATTGGCTAAATAGGCAAAAACTTCTGTGTGGTAAGTGATGGTTTATTAGTTAGGAAATCAAAGTGTTAGTGATTAAAAGCAGTGAGTACAGGTTAATAATTACCTGGGTAATTGAAGCCTTACTCTGCTTTCATAAGACTGACTTGCTTAATTCAAGGGAAACAAATTTTGGTCTACATTGCCCAAATAATGATGACACCTTTCTTTTACTTTAGGTGTGCAGAACTTGCCTCGGCCTATAAAACAAGTAACTGTATTCCTAGACCAGTTAGAAATGATAACCAGGTATGATTTAACTGGCATGATTTCATGCTTAGGATCTGTTTGACAACAGCTATTCCCAACAAAATAAGAGTTAGGTCCAACTACATGTATTAGGATTCTTCTACCTTACAGGCTACGGTGAGGAGACAAACTATGAAGACTGACTGTGAATGGGACTATGAATGGGGGAGGGGGCTGGACGGGAGGAGCGCAGGCCACACTGACAGCGAGGCTTTCTCCAGGCTCGAACTGTTCTTAAAGGAAAGGTTCACTCTGCTGCAGCTAACTAGCCTCCATCTTTTACACCAAATACTATTCCATGCCATGGAAGTGCTATGCAATAACTCCCAGGTAGCACCTTATACCGCTCAAAAGCCTTTAACCTAATCTGAAGGTGTCACAGGAAAGAAATGTAAACACTCAGAAAAAGAAAAATGTAATTACCTGATGAAGTCATCTATGTCCATGGAACGGGCCCGCTTGTCACTAAAACCTGTGCTGGTTAGGATTTGCTGTATTTTATCTGCTATGCTGAAATCTTCTGGTATTATCTATCAATATAAGATTCAGAATAAATGAACAACGTATCTTTAATGAAGTCACCTTGACTCTTTTTTTTTTAGTTCAGTAAGTCATAAAATAGTCACTTTTATCTGTTCATGAGTTTCTAAAGCCTACTTGTGCAGATAAGACTTGAGAATATTAACTATTTCATACTTCACATCTTTAATCCAAAGATTTTTCTTAATCCAGTTGAATATTTTCCTACTTAAGCAGATTTCTAATGACTTTGTCCATAAAAGAGAAAATGGAGGTAGCACTGTGGTATATTAAACCATAGATCTGAGTCAAAAAATACAAAGGGAATTTATTTTTATGTCTGCTGTTTAATAATTTGATGACTAGTAAGTTATCAAACATCACATAGTCATTATATATGAATATGTGTATGTGTGCTCATACACACTCAAAGTGCTGCACAGATAATAACAATAAGAAGCATGAGGCTCACAACCAAAAGTTTGCTCTGCAGTCTACACTTTATTCTAATTATTTCAATTTATGTGTATTAAAAAAAGTTACTGAGTAAATAGTAATGTTAAATTTGTAATTGCTACATGAGCAAGAAACAAGAAGGGATGGTCACAATTCAGAGGATGGCAAATGGTATACAAGTTAAGCTGAGCAAGCTACACATGCCTAGTTTGAGAAAATGATGACTCAGCTGAATCCCTGAGTCTTTGTTTTATAGCCAAAAACCAGTGTCAGGAGTTAGAGAGGATCGAGTGGAGTAATCAGCGTTGCTCAGATCTGTTCCACAAACTACAGCAGCACTGCCCTGTCAGACTTCAAGATCAAGTTACGCTAGTTACCTATTACATACTGGCATTTAAGGATCCTATGGAATGTACAAAATCAAGAATATTGTAATGATAGATGAAAAAGAGTAACAAGCAGAGGGACATTTTAAAACACAACAAATCACTGAAGCCACAGAAACATTTTCTGCTTACAATATTATGGACTGAACAGTGGATTCTGTAATTTTTCTCCAATAGCCGTTGCACTGCACTTGACCTAGAGCAAAAAGAAGTGATGTCCACTATTATCCCAAAACCAGAGATTATAAATAATTTCCTTCCAGTTTACTGTAAGATTAAGTCAGTGTTCCATATGGTGAAATTAAGGAGCTAAAAAAGGTGCTGAATATTTAAACTTAGGAAACAATCACGAACTAGTTACATTTAAAAAGTAAAGTCCTAAGACACATCTCTTACGTTCCTAAAGATGTTTTAGACTCCACAAAACATCACCTTAAAAAAAAGCTAAAATTATGGCTTTCACCTCTCTTTTGCCCTGGGGCCCCAAATTGCTGTTACATTTTTCCAAGTTAATAAAATGGCACAAATCTTTCACAAGTGTGGAAGGAATCTATCACCACCCCATTTTTCCAAGGAAAACTAAGCAGATGTCCGGTCAGTTGTTGGTTTTTTCCCTGTTTTGCAAAAAAGCCTGATCTAATTCCCAACTCCAGGAACTATCTTCATTAAATTCCCCTGCCTCCCAAAGTATAAAGTTAGTCAAAAAGGTAAAGTGTGTCTGGACACGGATAATCTTTATGCTTTAGGATGTCTGTTCGGGAAAGGACCAAATTCCAGCACTTAGCACAGCACACGGAGCATGGGGCCTCCTCCGTTAGAAGTTAGGGAAAGACTCACTTAAACGCAGCAGACAGCGTCTTGTTTTTCCTAACGAAGGTGATCCTTACTAGGCCATCCCATTCCTGAAACAGAAAATGGGTATTGTCTTACAAAATATCGAACCTTGCCTATGCTTGCTAGGTATTCTTTTAATACATAAAACTGAAAAGAACCTTCTGGAGTGATAAAAATGTTCTATTATCTTGATCTGGCTGACACACATGCAAAAGTAAGGTGTATACTTGATTTTTGCACACCTCACTGAATATTTTATCCTCAATTTTAAAAATCAGAAAAAATAGATCATTGTTCTATTTTTAGAACATCATCTGAACAAAGAGATCATCTTTGATAAATAGATCATCTGAACAAAGAACATGGCATTTATTTAAATCTAAGTACCATTTTCCAATGATTTAGAATACAGGCTGTGCAACTCACCTGAACCCCCGGAAGGAGTAACTGACAAACCCCTCCGTTTACCACCGCTTCCTGACTACGCAAGCAATCATGTTTTTATCCAAAGCGATTGCAGCGAGGTTTTACATCAAGTGATCTGGCTTTCGTCACTTTTTAAATTACTAAAACAAGAATTTTGATTAAAAAGTTATACCCATAATATTATTCTAACAACTATTTTCATTTTATCTTGTTTTCCAAGTCTTATTCAAATAGGTACATGTTTTCCACAGCTATAATCTTCAGCAAAATGCAATGACATGTAATCTTTTCCCCTTTTGCAAACATTTTCCATGCTCTCGTGGTCTTCACAACTATCTTGTGTCAAATTATTCCATCTACTCCATCACAGGGATGTATCGTAATTAACATTTTTCGGTTTGTGCATTTAGGTTGACTGTAGACACACATCTTCCAGCTTGGGCTTTTTTTCCCCTTTAGTGAATGACGTAGTATTTTAACCTCACCTGAAAATTGATAGGTGGTGGCGGATTCTTAGGTTCTATCCTTACAACACTGGATTCCACCTTGGGTGGTGGCCTGAAGTTATTCTTTCCAACCTGTTAATCAGAAAATGTTTAAGTAGTTCTCTCAAAAACTTTAAATTAGTAATCAAGTAGGCTCTGCTCACAGAAGGCACTGCTAGATGCTCAAGGATGAATTAAGCCACGTTATTTCAGTAACAGTCACTTACTTTCATTAGATGGTCCACACGTGCTAACAGCTGGGTATTAATTGAGAGTCTGCAGTATAACTTATCTCCAGGTTTTGCAACCAGTCGGAGCGCAAATTCTCTTTGAAACATAAGTACAGCACATCTGAAAAGGCAACAGAAAGGATAGGAAAATGGTCACTTGCTACTGTAAATGTTTTTTCACTGTAATGAATTTTCTTGGGAGGGAAATAGAGCAAAGCAATATCTGTGGTTCATAATTAGTCCAGCTGGTTGGAAGGGAGGAGAACACTTTCAGCCACAAAATGATCCAGTTGGCTTTGTTTTTCATTTTATAATGGCTGCATTGCTAACCTCTTGCACCTGTAAGCCCTCGATGATCAGATGAGGAAGTATTTCAGATTGCCACTAGCCCATCACCCCTGCCAGGAAAACAAAACCCAAACAAACAAAACTGGCTTAGCAGCCGAACTGTATTCAGGGGCAGCGAACACCCTCAAGGAAGAGCCGAGGCAGGAGAGGCGGGCTGTGAGATCAGTGTCTTCCTGATTTCACAGGTTAAGGACACGGACTTCTTATTCAGCAAGCAATGTGGAAGCCTCTGGGAGGCTCTTGACCAGGAGAAGAGCACCTTCAAAGCTGGGCTTCAACGACTTTCAAACTTTTTGACAATAAGTCACACTAAGAAATACACTTGACATTGCAACCCAGGCTGCAAATCTCTCTATGTCTATGTGTTTATGTAACTCAAACAAGTTTCATGACACTGTAATCATCTGGACCACATGCAATGAATGCCCTCTGATATATTCTAAGCCATGTCATTAATAAAAAGGACAGTCATGACTCACTAAACTTATTTTATAAACACTAAGGGGTTTTTGACTTGCAGTTTGAAAACCACTAGTATGACTGTACTAGAAACTAGTTAGGTGGCCACTGCAATTGTCTAGATACAAGGTAATAAAAGTCTGACCTGGGCTAATGCAGGAGGATTAGAAAATAGGGAAAGGCCGTCTTGGTCTCAGAAGCAGGACTGACCCCACACCTCCCCCAATAACTCTGTCAACTGAAAAGAGAAAGAGAGAGAACGACCTCCACATAAATCGATATTTTCTACAAAACAAATTCTCTAGTAGTTTTTCAATGGAATTAACTTTCATCTTTGGCTGGCTGGCTGTGTTCACGGCCTAAACCATCAATCTTTCTAAGATTTGGCAGCAACTTTGGCTTTTGTCACAAACCTGAAAAAAGGTCGGTGTAGCAACAGCTTGAAGACAAAAGGAGAAGAGATCTGCAAGAGAATTAACTAGTTATTTCTGGGAAAGAGACCAGAGAAACATTTAGTAAAATGTTCCCGACAATTTGAAAACATACCTGATAAGGCAAATTTGCCACACAAGCATCAAAAAATGGCAAGTCTGTTTTCAACACATCACCCACCATTACTTGAAGTTTGCCGGCCAGAGGCCTGAAAATAAGAAAAAAAGCGATTAAAAATGAATACTGTTCATGAGATTGAAATGCACTTTAATTCTATTATGTATACTCACGTGCCCTGAACTCTTTTGTGAAGTTCAGCTACTAGCCTTGGGTCAAGTTCACAGGCAATTACCTAAAGTTTGGGGGGGTAGGGGGGAGAGTTTTTCAGGTTAATTATGGATTCTAAATTTTATTATCTCAATAATAACTCTTACATGATTTATATGAATTAAACTTCTTTTCCCAATTCTATCATCAATATTCCTTCAATTGTACTCTACCATTTCAAACAACAAAAAGCACCACCCAGAAAAGTAGACAACCAGACAATGTCAGAGTTCTACCCAAATAATTGACAATCGTGCTCATCTGGCTCCATGCTTTGTAACTGAACAGCAGATGAAAAAACACATAAAATGTCTGTGCAGTGAATGTTCTTAGAAGCATACAAAGCAACTGCTCCCAGCATGAGTATGTCACTTGTCTCGTCTACTAAGGTCCAGAGTATGCAGCATAGATAACTTCACAAGGAAATGAAAAGGGACAGCAGAAAAGGCTGAAATTGTCATCTTAATTCAATATCAGCTGAGGTTTTACTGACTTCCAGGAAGACCATGTCTGCAGAATAGATACATGTGCTGCTTAGCGTGTCTGGCTCCCAGATCCATTCTCCAGCTTCCTCTATGCCCTGTAGCGTGATACAGTCCAGCTCCCTTGCCCTTTGACTTCCAGTTGGGATTGGCCAATGAAAGGTACCGGCATCACAGGGTGCAAGGGGAGAGGCGGAATATTTCCTAATGCCTGCCCCATGCCTTGCAGGAGTTCTGGTCGTGGCTGTGTTCCATCAGGAGTGGCCCCTGCTCCATGGCTCCCACGCTTACTGGGCTCCTGCACACAGTTCCCTCCTCTTGCCCCTTGAGCCCTTTGGATGGTAACTGTTTCCTACTTTTGCTAGTTCCTGGGCATTTCACTAATGCTTACTGGTTCCCTTAACCCCATTCCCACATTTTGTAAAGAGTCTCTTCATTAAACTCTTTTCAGATAAGGTCTTTAAAATGTGCTCCCTACTTTCACCAGAGTACACCACAGTGGTTCCATTTAATTAGAAACTGGGTTAGCCAAGAGCCAAAGTACCAGCAGTGGCCAGGTGGCACAATCTCAGAGGCCCGTGGCTCCAGCTCTTTAGATCTCCTCCTCCAAGGCTCTAGGTTCCAGTAACTCCACCCTCCTCGCTTTGTTCCCCCAAGCCTAGAGGTGGTAGCTGCTCTTTGCAATTATTATTTTTGGGTTACCTCAGTGTTCCCATTTTATTCTTTGAGTCCTCTAACAACCACATAACCAATTCCCTATATTAAATTCCCTGTATTGAAATATTTAATGTAGCTTCCGTTTCCCTGACTGACATAACCCCTATTTTCTTTTATCTATTGTTTTAAACTGAGACATAATTGACATATGACATTATATTAGTTTCAGGTGCACAACATAATGATTCAATACATGTATATAGTGCAAGGTAAGTCTAGTTAACATCCATCACCTCACATAGTTACAAATGTTTTTTTCTTGTGATGAGAACTTTGAAGATCTACTCTCTTAGCAACTTTCAAATATACAGCACTGTGAACTGTAGTCACCATGCTGCACATTACAGCCCCATGAATTATTTCTTTTATAACAGGAAGTTTGTATCTTTTGACCACCTTCACCCGTTTTGCCCATATTTTCTAAGATAAAGTTTCTAGCAAAGGAGCAAGAGGAGTTGTTAAAATAATAGCAATTAATTAAAATAGATTTATATTTGTAAACCAGCTGAGTTTGCTCACATAGCCATTTCTGATACCAAAACACTAAATGCCCTTTTTACCTTTTTTGCCTTTTCTAGCAACTTTACAGTCATATTGCCAGTTCCAGGTCCAACTTCCAGCACCACATCAGTTGGCCTTAAGGCAGCCTACAAGCAAGCACAACCACTTTAGCTTTACTGGCACACCCGAACACATCATTTCATTTACACCTGAATATCTTCCCTCAAAAGCACTTGGCTAAGAGATCTTATTCTGACTCCATTTTTAGGAGATTCCTTCATGATCCATGTATTTAACAAAATTACCTCATTAACATTAGGTGCAAGTGGATATGTAACACGCCTCCTAAGTTGGGTCAATAGTCCGGAGTCAGAAAACTAGGAGTTAGAAAAGTAGGAAGAGCACTTCTTTCTGAGATGGGCATTCCGCTTTCTACCTTGGAAATGCTTCCAACAGCATCTTGTTACCAACTCTGTTATCAACAAGTTCAAACCGGAAAGGACTGTACATGATGAACGTGCCTCAGAATCATAGCGTGTTGTACTGGAAATTCTCAATTCTCATCCCATGTATGGTCTCAGGGACACAGGAGTACCCAGAAACTATACACAAAACTGGGTGTTTGTGTGCACACAGCTGCAGTATTCTGGATCCACAGCTTTCATCAGATGCTCAAAGGAATCCAAGAGCCAAAAAGGTTAGAAGGCTAGGCCCTCATTTTGCAAATGACACTAAGTCAAGATGAGATCCTTTAAGGATCTAATGCTCTTTCTACAGCTCCAGGATGCTTCCTTTGTAACCATGAAAGTAATCTACACCACCTGTATTTCATGTCCTAACACCCAATCACCCATAACGAGAGAGCATCAATAACCCATACAGCAGGAAAATTGGAAAGAATTTATATGGGCACTGGATCGTACCGTGTAAGTTTCTCTGGGGAACAAACGTCCTAAGGCGGTGTTTAGACACATTTTTAGGCTCCGGAGTAAATAAAAACTAACGGTGTTAGATGGTGCCTGGAAAATGTGTTTAGGAATAGAACAGTAATAATCTGCTATTGAACAAGTACAAACGTCCAGGTATGACGTAAATAATCTATAGAAAGACAGAATTTGGAGCCAGGAGAAACCCAGACCCACAGAATGAAGGAAATCATGCCGAAGACAGCGTACGAATCTTGCCAATTGTTCAATTCATTCAACAAGACTATCTGTTTTGTGTCAGACATCCTCTCTGCGCTTAAGTATTCCTAAGAATAAAATCAATAACCTACCAACTCTCTCCCTTTCCTCTTCCACACCCACCTTATCGATAATGCTGTTAACAATGAGAGGATTTTTCAAAATGTGCTGCCCAATGCCCGTGTTGAACATGAGTCCTAGAAGAAAACATGAAACAGCCTTAATTTCCCAACTAAGATTAGATATTAGATCGTCGCAAAGATGAAAGTAGGAGGCCTGGGGGAAGATTTCTGAGCCAACGAGACCCACCCAACGTCACGCTGGGCGCCCGGCTGGCGCTGTGGACGTCCAAGCCTCCGCCCTGGGAGGAAGCCAGAGGCGGCGCGCCGGGCCCGAAGCCGGCCAGCCGGGAGCCCGGGACTTGCGCGCTCGGGGAGCGCGGGCCCCGACCGGCCTCCCAGGCCCGGCCCAGGTCTCGGTCGGCGGCCCTCGCCTGGGTCCCGCCGGAGGACCCGACCCGACCCACCCCCTCCCAGCTGTCCCCACCTCCGGCGCTCTTCAGCTCCCGGCGCTGTTCTTGCCGCTCGCGATGGCGGCCGCTCGCCCCAGACTTGATCTTCGGCATCTTCGCAGGCAGCGGGCCCTCAGGTCCGGGAAATCAACGAGTACCAACCCCGAAACACCCCACACGTGTGGCTCCCTACGCCGCACCACCCACACCACTCCCGGCCACGTGGGGGAGGGGCGAGGACCCCGCCCCCTGTTCGCTCTGGGTTCCGCCCCTAGAAAGAGGGCCGAACTTAGAGCCAAGTGGCCGCCGGGAATTGTAGTCATGAGCGGGAGGAAAGCGTCACCTCGGGAGCCTACAGATCCCAGAAGGCACCGCGCTACTGATTCTGGCAATTTGGATTGGCTAGTTTGGAATTGGGGGCGGGGCCTGTTGCCCCTTTCTGCGCGAGCTGTTAAACTAGGTTTGAGTGTGGTATCCTGGAGGTTTAAGTTGTCAAATGCGAGGGGAGCCGTGGATGCCTTATGAAGTCACGTTCTGGGATCGCTGAAATCCAAAGGTTTCTTTTTGTCACGTGGCTCTCTCATCTTTCCCAGCAGGTTCTGGGGTGGGAGACCCCGGGTGTGGGGATGAGGATCTCGCTTCTTTGGGGAAGTGAGTTCTCCGCTGCTTGCGTCGAAGGAACCTCGAGAATGTAGTAAGTAGTTCCTTCGCTTCCTTCTGTGCCACGTCATTCATTTATTGAGCTCCAGCTGTGTGTTAAACACTGCTGGGTGCTGGAGATCCAAAGTTAAATAGGAAACTGCTCTCCTCAAAGTTTTTGCGATTGAGAGAGACAAAAAGTCTGGAACTCTGTAGATGTGGTCATTGGTATGCATTGGGTATTGTGATAGGATGAGGTATCCGCCTGTTAACTCCACGAGCACAAGCTCTGTGTCTGTTTTGCCTGCCAATATAATGGCTTTCAGTTTTTAATGTTTCTGTGTGTACCCTCTTTCCTTGAAGAAGCAGTTTTCTCTGTCATTACCAAAGCTGACTCTTCCCTGTGCAACTAATCGTGTGCATGCCCAAGTCATGGTCTGTCTTTGCTGTAATTCTAACTGAGGGAAAAAGTCATATGCCCTAGTAGCATCCTCAACCACCTCTTTCACTCCATTAATCATTAATTTATTCCACAATTCTGGAGAATCTACAGTGTGCCAGGCACTGTGTCAAATGTTAGGAATAAAAAGATGAGCATGAAATGATCCCTGCTTTTAAAGAACTTTCTGTCAGGAGAGGGAGTCATGCAAATAATTACTATAGTAGCACCATTTGCTGATCAGTTATGTGCCCTGTACTTTAGGTACATTATCTCATTTAACCCTTTCAAACAGTTCTCTGAAACAGGTCTGATCATTATATCCATTTTACAGATGAGGAAACTGAAGGACAAAAATGTTTACTATCTTGCTCAAGATCACACAGTGAAAATGACAGGCTTGTCTTAAACCTAGGTCTATGTTCCAAAGACTGTGCACATTAAAAGAGGTGTGATTATAGCAGTGTGGCTAATATTTGAGGGAACTATGGAATATTTTCAAAATATAATATTTGAGTAGAGTCTTCAAAGGACAAACAAAAATTAGCCAGGGGAAGGTTGAGAATTCAAAAGGAACAGCACTCACAAAGCCAAGGTACAAAGATGTTTAAGGAAGAAAAACTTGGTATAGCTGAGGAGTAAATAGGGACTTACTGTGAAGGGCCTAAAATGTTGTGCTAAGGAGAAATGGTGGTCATTGAGAATCAGAATAACCGTTTTGCCCTCTCTGCTCCTCTCCCGGCTGTGATAACTGCTGGACATCACACAGCAGTGCAGGTAGGACTCATAGGCTCACAGTTGGCTGGGCTCTGAACCCTGCCCAGCCAGCTCTTCCTGAATTCCCTCTAATCTTCCTCTCCCATTCTCCATAAAGGCTCTTCAAACCTTCTTAATTCTTCTCAGTTCTCCTGCCGTACGACCTCCCTAGCTCCTTCTCAGCAGAAGACCTTGCCTTCGCGGAAGGAATGCAACATCACATCAAGGACACTCGTCTCCAGGGTCACTGTTCTACCCAATGGGCGTACAGCAGAAGGCAAAACAACAGTGGAGCTTACATTCTAGCGAGGAAAAACAGACATTATGTCAGGTGGTGATCAGTGTGAAGAAAAAAGTAAAGCAGAGGAGAAAGAGATCAACAGGTGAGTGGGAGAGGCTATTTTATGTAGCATGGTAGACAATAAGGATGGGAACCAAATTATTTTGTTTAGCAGTAAAATAGCAAGACCCTCCTGGAAGAGGTCATGTGTTTTAAGCTACATAAAACTAAATGACTGAAGTGAGTGTGCACATTTAGCTTACCTAGAGACTCATTTGGTGTTTGTCTAGGTGTGAACGTTGAGCCACCTGCATCAGAAACTCTAGGGCAAATGTTACGGGTTGCACTGTGTCCCCCTCAAATTCTTGGGTTGAAGCCTAACCTCTAGTACCTCAGAATGTGGCTGTATTTGGAGACAAGGCTTTTAAAGAAGTGGCCAAGTTAAAATGAGGCCTTCAGCATGTGACCCAATCCAATCTGGCTGGTGTCCTTATGAAAGGAGGAAATTTAGACACAGAAAGAGAAACCAGGGATGTGTGTACAAGAGGAAAGACCATGTGAGGGCACAGGGAGCAGGGGACCGTCTACAAGCTGAGAAGAGAGGCCTCAGGAGAAACCGACCCTGCTGACATGTTGATCTTGGACTTCTAGCCTCCAGAACTGTGGGAAAATAAACTTCTGTGGTTTAAGCCACCCAGTCTGGGGTACTTTGTTAGGGCAGCCCTAACAAACTAATATAGCACATAATGGAACTTCACACTCTTGAGCCCCAGCCTAAACATTCTGAATTAGAATAAGATTGGCCCCTGGAACATGTGTTTTTAAGAGACCCTCTAGGAGGTTATGATGCACACTGAAGGTGGGGATTCACTACTTTCTTCACCAAAATAACGTAGTTGGTTGAGGAATTCCTACAGATATGAAAAAATGTGGGGGGGGGGCTGGCCCCGTGGCCGAGTGGTTAAGTTCGCGCGCTCCGCTGCAGGCGGCCCAGTGTTTCATTGGTTCGAATCCTGGGCGCGGACATGGCACTGCTCATCAGACCACGCTGAGGCAGCGTCCCACATGCCACAACTAGAAGGACCCACAACGAAGAATATACAACTACGTACCGGGGGCTTTGGGGAGAAAAAGGAGAAAATAAAATCTTTAAAAAAAAAAAAAGAAATTGTTCTTATATTTGGGATCATTTATTCTTCTGGCCAAATTTTATCCATTTTTTTCTGTTAGTACCAAGGCAGCATTCAGATATGAGACAACATTGGGTGCACCATGGATCCATGAGTCCTAAGGAATTGTGTGATGCTGGGAAATGGGCTGCATTAAGGAAATGAGCATTGGAAATTTATGCTGGAATGTTTTTGAGTTATCTCTGCACGTATGAATGGCTTTGTGATTATAAAAAACAATTTTATGTGTCTCGGTTTCATGTTTATATCTTTTGTTAATTAAAAATAATTATTTCTTGATTTGGTTGTGCATAATTGATTCATTGTCATTTTTATTAATAAAACATATCATGACTTAAAAAAGTATAATAGTATTTGGTAGAAGAAGAGGCTTATTTAAATTCACAGCATGCTTGAAATAACATTTTAAATGTGCCAGCAAATATAATAAAGAATAAAAATAAAATGATTTAAGCATTTTCTTGTATAAAATAGAGTTCTTCGCTGACTTTTAATGTATTTAAAAGTCATGAAAACATTAAGATTATTTGAATTTCACACTTTTAACATAGATTCATTAACACTAAAATACTATGTTCCTATGAAAAAAGGATATAATTCTCCTGAATATGATAAAACAAAAATCAAATTGAGGGGCCAGCCCCATGGCCTAGTGGTTATGTTTGGCGCACTCTGCTTTGATGGCACAGGTGTGATTTCTGGATGGAGACCTACACCACTCATCATTGGTCATGCTGTGGCAGCAACCCACATACAAAATAGAGGAAGATTAGCAGGGATCTTAGCTCAGGGCAAGTCTTCCTTAAGCAAGAAGAGGAAAATTGGCAACAGATGTTAGCCCAGGGTGAATTTTCTTCAGCAAAAAAAAGCTTTAAAAAAATCAAATTGAAATCTAGTTAATATCAAGCTGTTCAATTTGATTAGAAAATGAAATGTTATTGTTATTGTGACAATATCCAAATCTAAATGCTAAGATGAAGTGCTGATTTACAAGCTGGACAATTTCAAAGAGTACCTAGAGACTTAGTTTCTACTGTGCTGTCTAAATCTTAACAGAAAATGTGATGAAATTACATTCAAATACAACAAAAATTAAATTATTATTTTACTGAGAATTCTGTTTGTGGAATATAATAGAACCTATTTTATATTATATTTTTATATTTGTATTTATATATTATATTTTTACATTGCATTTTATGGGTTTTAAAGTATTTTCCACACAACTTGATTTTCAGTGAAACCTTGTGAAGTTGTTAGGGCAGCCATGAACACCGTGTTTTACATATGAAGAGGCTGAGTGTCATAGAGATTAAAGGTACTTGCTCAAGGTCCTTCAGATAGTAGGCAGCAGAGGTGGGGGTGTAAGTCTGTGCCCTTGCCACAGCAGAACATCAGCCTGCCTTCAGTGGGCTCTATTGGTCTCTACTTCCAGCTGAGTGTTGGTATCACAGTCAATTGCTCTCATCATGGTGGAATGGCAGGGAAGCAAAAGATACTGAATCATTCTAAATAAAATTTAAATCAATTTTACTTTTTAATAACAATCTAATATAGGATTCAAGTGAATTCTAAAGCATGAAGTTAAAAAATTAAAACTTTGGTTACTATGAATTTAAGAATAATTTGTGTCCAGGAGTGACATCAACATCATGACAGAGTGCGTTCTTCCCTGTGTCTCTCCCCTCTAAGTTACAACTAAATGGACATCCATTAACCAACAAAGAATTCCCTACATAGCACAATAGGATGCTTGAGAGATCCATGCAGCTATACATCTGAAGGAAGGTGGACTGGACTCCCCGGGAAGCAGTGGAACTAGGGGAGTGGGCCCCATCTCCTTCCCCAGTGGCAGTGATCCAGGTTATGGATCCTTACACGGCAGCCAGTGCAACTGTGAATAGAGGCAGGGGCAGCCTGGGCCGCATGTGAATGCTTGCAGAGTGGTGGTAGGCCAACCCACAGGAGCACCCCTAGTGTCACAGTGGCCCTGTCCACCCAAATGCTCCCTGCTGAGCAGCTGCAGCCTGGCCTGTGCAAATGCAGAGTAGCAGACTGACACAACATGAGCAGATGGGGCAAGAACAGAAAAAGCAGGCCCTGCCCCTCCCAATGGTAACAGGTGGAATCTGTGACCAGAAGCAACAGGGACCAGAGCAGAGCAGTGACCCAGCCCCCAGTGGTGACAATCCTGACACCAGCTCCACCAGCAGTGGGGACTGGATACAAGTCTCTGGGTCTCCAGGTCCCCCCTAGTGACATTGAGACCCAGGACCCTTGACAGTGGTGCAACCAACACCCCAAGGCAACCGAGGAATAGCACTGCAAGTGGTGCACAGGACAGCAGCATCTGAGCCCATGGAGAACGAGGGGAGGGACACAAGACCCAGGTGACCAGAAGCAAAGTAACCAAAGCTGTGCCCAAATAAGAAAAGGTTATTACTACCACTCCGCACTGGCAGAGGATCAAATCATCAAATACCATGAAAAACTACAGTAACACTGCAGAACAGAAGGAAAATGACAACTCTCCAGAAACCAAACCTGAAGTCACAGAAGACTACAATCAAACTGACAGAGAATTCAAAACAGCTATCATAAAGAAAGTCAGTGAGTTACAGGAAAACTCAGAAAGACAGTTCAATGAACTCAGGAATAAAATTAATGAACAGAAGGAATACTTCACCAAAGAAATTGAAGAATGAAAAAAACCAAAGAACAAAAATTCTGGATATGAAGAACACAATTAATGAGACAAAAAATAATGTAGAAAGCATAAAAAATAGACTAGAACTTATGCAGAGAGAATTAGTGACCTTGAAGATAGAAACCTAGAAATGCTTTAGGTGGAGGAGGAGAGAGAACTGAAATTTTTTAAAAATGAAGACTTTCTTTGAGAAATATGTAACTCAATTAGGAAAAGTAACATGAGGGTTATAGGTATTCCAGAAGGAGAAGAGAGAGAGAAAGGAGCAGAATGCTTGTTCAAAGATACAATAGCTGAGAACTTGCCAAACCTGAGCAAAGAACTGGACGTACAAGTACATGAAGCCAATAGAACTCCTAATTACATGAATGAAAAAGATCTTCTCCAAGGCATATAATATTAAAACTGTCAAAAGTAAATTACAAAGAAAAAATATTAAGGGCAGCAAGAGAGAAGAAAATAACCTATAAACGAACTCCCATCAGGATTTCAGCAGATTTCTCAGTAGAAACCTTATAGGCTAGGAGAGAGTGGAATGATATATTGAAAATTCTGAAAGACAAAAACTTTCAGCCAAGAATACTCTATGCAGTGAAAATATCCTTCAGATATGATGGAGAAATAAAAACTTGCACAGATAAACAAAAGCTAAGGGAGTTTGTCACCACAAGACCCCCATTACAAGAAATGCTCAAGAAGGCTCTCATATCTCAAAAAAAAAGAAAGGGGTTACAAAGCCTCAAGCAAAGAAATAAATAGGTAGACAAAATCAGAAAATTTCAGCTCTCGATCAGAACAGGTTAGCAAAAACTTAATTATAACATAAAAGATAAAGGGAAAGGAAACACAAAAAATAACTATAAACACTTCAATGTACTCACAAACTCACAACACAAAAAAAAGAATAATTTGTGGCAACAAAAACACAGAAGTAGAGAGGAATGTGATGGAACCTGCTTAGGCTAATGGATATAAGAGGCTATCAGAAAAAGGACTATGTCATTTATAAGATATTTTATACAAACCTCACAATACAAAAAGTCAGAGCAGAGCCACAAATCATAAATAAAGAGAAAATAGAGAAGACTATCACAGAAAACCACCAAACTGAAATGGCAGTCATCAATACAAGGGCAGAGAATCAATGGAAATATAGAAGAACCAGAAAAAATATATAAAATGGCAATATTAAGCCCTCATATATCAATAATCACTCTAAATGTAAATGGATTGAATTCACCAATCAAAAGACAGATGGATTGGACAGCAAGGAAACAGTGGCCTTAAATGAAACAGTGGAACAGATGGACTTAATAGCTATATATAGAACACTGCATCCCCAAACAGCAGAATACACATTCTTCTCAAGTGCACACAGAACATTCTCAAAGATAGACCATATGTTGGGAAACAAGACAAGCCTCAATAAATTTAAGAAGATTGAAATCATATCAAGCATCTTTTCCAACCACAATGCCATGAAACTAGAAACCAACTACAAGAAGAATCTGGGAATGTCACAAATATGTGTAGATTAAACAACATGCTATTGAACAACCATTTGATCGATGAAGAAATCAAAGGAGAAATCAAAAAGTACGTGGAGACAAATGAAAATGAAAACCCAACATATCAACTCTTATGGGATCCAGCAAAAATGGTACTAAGAGGGAAATTTATAGCAACACAGGCCTACCTCAACAAACAAGAAAAATCTCAAATAAGTAATCTTAAACTACACCTAATGGAACTAGAAAAAGAAGAACAAACAAAGCCCAAAGTCAGCAGAAGGAGGGAAATAATAAAAATCAGAGCAGAAATAAATGAAATAGAGACTAAAAAAAAGACAATAGAAAGGATCAGTGGTTCTTTGAGAAGCAAACAAGATTGACAAATTCTTAGCCAAACTCGCTAAGAAAAGAAAAAACTCAAATAAACAAAATTAGAAATGAAAGAGGAGAAACTACCACAAATACCACAGAAACACAAAGGATTATCAGAGAATACTATGAAAAACCATATCCCAACAAATTGGACAACCTAGAAGAAATGGATAAATTCTTAATCTTATAAAACCTCCTAAAACTGAATCAAGAAGAAATAGAGAATCTGAATAGACAAATCACAAGTAAACAGATTGAAACAGTAATCAAAAACCTCCTAAAAACAAAAGTCTTGGACCAGATGGCTTCTCTAGAGAATTCTACCAAACATTCAAAGAAGATTTAATAGCCATCCTTCTCAGGCCATTCCAAAAAATTGAAGAAGACAGAATGCTTCCTACCTCATTCTATGATGCCAACATCACCTTGATACCAAAACCAGGCAAGGACAACACAAAGAAGGAAAATTACAGACCAATATTGCTGATGAACACAGATGCAAATTCTTCAACAAAATATTGGCAAATTGACTACAACAATACATTAAAAGGATCATACACCACGATCAAGTGGGATTTATACCAGGGACGCAGAGATGGTTCAAGATCTGCATATCAATCAATGTGATACACCACATTTAAAAACTGAGGAATAAAAATCACACGATCATCTCAATAGATGAAGAGAAA